CGCTTTTGTTAAGCGAGTTTGGGACAACTTTTCTTTACCTTCCTTTCTCTCTCTCTCTCTCTATTTTCTTTCTTACTTTCTCTCTCTACACTTTTTCTCTATACACCCTCTTGAGTTTTATGCAATGAATTATTTCCATTAATTTTGGCAACGATTTCTTCCCTCGTTACTTTCAGTAATTTAATTGCTTTGATTTAATTATGTCTTGCTTTATTGCTTTGCTTAGTTTAGATTTTAATATGTGGGAGTAGTTTAATTCTAGGGTTGTGGGGATCCATGAATAGTACGAAGGGGTAATTTATTATTGTTGATTATTGATGATTGGTTAATTTCCTATTAATTGATTTAATGCTATGCAATTAGATTTGCGCAGGTTTAATTGTATGAGTGTTGCAATATTGATTCGAGATTCGAGAGATGAGAATTGATGTTTAGGCTTAATTTCAATAGGCATGTTGATCTATAAATGGTTAGGTCGAGATTCGAGAGATGAGATTTAATACCGGTAGATTAATTATGTGATTATAATACGTAGCGAAAGCCCTTTGTAATTTGATTAATTTATGCATTGATAATTGATTGTTATGTTTTACCTTGGAGTATTATTTATTGGTGAACCTATACCCTAGGCCTTTTATTATTGATTATTCCCTTATTTAATTTGCTTAGTTTAATTGTTAGTTTAATTCCCACAATACAAATTGGTTACTTGATAATTTAGATTATAGTTTTTGATCAGGAATAAAAGAACACTGTTTCCCTGTGGATTCGACCCTACTTCCCTATCTACTTTAGTTAGAGGACTTAGGAATTACTTTTGATTAGGTGATACGACTTTAACCTATCAGTTTCCAGGAGTTCCTGAACGACGGTCCAATGAATATCGTGAAATGGTTTTCGATGCTTTAGTCATACTCAAGATCAAAGGCATTCCGAACAGGCTAGTGTTTCATCAGAGGAGGAGCCTAATGCACAAGTTAAGCATTTTCTGGATTTGTTGAAGGCTTCTAAACAACCATTATACGAAGGAGTTCATTGTCTGTGTTAGAGATGGCTGCTAGAATTACTAGTCTAAAGTGCGAGTATAATTTGCCCCACCGATGTGTTAATGGGTTTGCTTCTTTGGTCAATGAAGCTATTCCTAACAACAACCATATGGCCGACATATTCTATGAGGTCAAGAAGATTGTGAAGGGGTTGGAGCTGCCTCATGAAAAAATTCATGCATGCCCGAAAGGATGTATGTTGTTTTGGAAGGATGATGCTCAACTATCTACATGTAGGGTATGTGGAAGCGACCGATACAAGAAGAATTCTAAAGGTAGCTTAGTGACTTTGAATGTTTTATTTTATTTCCCGATCACACCCAGGTTGTAAAGGCTCTTTGCAACCAAGAACATTTCGGAGGAAATGACATGGCATTCGAAAAATCCTCGAGTTCAAGGCACATTGGCACACCCTAGTGATAATGAAGCTTGGAAACACCTCGATAGTTGCTTTCCAGAGTTTGCCTCCGAGTCTCGTAAAGTTCGACTTGGCTTGTGTACAGATGGTTTTTCTCCCTCATGGTAAGTTTGGGGGACAATATTCTTGTTGGCCTGTCATTTTGACCTCTTATAACTTGCCTCCCTCAATGTGTATGAAAAGACAATCCATGTTCCTTTCGTTGCTCGTTCCTGGTCCTAAAAACCCTAAGGGGCAACTTGCATGTGTACATGCAACCGTTGATAGAAGATTTGAAACAATTATGGGAAGTTAGTGCAAATAGTTACGATATTTTGAGGAAACAGAATTTCAATCTTCGAGCAGCCAACCTATCGACCGTTAGTGACTTCCCGGCTTATGGTATGTTGTCTGGTTGGACCACATCTGGTAAGAAGGCTTGTCCATATTGCATGGAGAAAAGCAAAGCGTTTTGGCTTGAACATGGTGGTAAAGTTTCTTGGTTTGATTGTCACCGCCAATTCCTTTCGACAGATCACCCTTTTCGGAATAGTAGAAATACATTTTGTAAAAATAAAGTCGAAAAAGGGGAACGGGCGCACACCATGTCAGGAGAGGAACTGTGGGAACGTGTGAAAGACCTTCCGAAGGCTACAGATGGGCCCGAGGCACTTAAACGCCTCAAAAAAGCTAAAAAAAGGTGGTTTAAGCAAAGCACACTGTGGGAGCTTCCATATTGGAAGCATCTGCTCATTCGTCATAACTTAGATGTCATGCACATTGAAAAGAACTTCGTTGATCAATTAATTCACACTATAATGGATGTGAAAAGGCATACATGTGACACGCCATCAGCTCGAAATGACATTGTCAAATATTATAAACGGCCGCAGCTTCATCTTCAGGAGGATGATAAAGGAAAAGAGTTCATGCTAAAGGCTCCATTCGCTCTTGACAAGGCTCAGAGAAAAGTTTTGTGTGAGTGGGTTAAACAACTACGGTTTCCTGATGGTTACGCCTCCAATTTGAGCAGATGCGTAGATTTACAAGCATGTAAGCTACACGAGATGAAAAGTCATGACTGTCACGTGTTCATGGAGTGGTTGTTGCCCACTACTTTGAGGGAATTGCTCCCTGGCCATATTTGGAATGCAATTACAGAGATCTGCCAATTCTTCCGCGATTTGTGTTGCTACACAATCATATTTGGAATGGCTTTGTTATCTCAAGCGATGAAGATGATGAATCTAGCATCGACTCTAGTAATTGTGATGAGGATGATGTATTATTAGATGATAGTAGTGATGATTATAGTAGTGATAGTAGTGATGAGATTAATGAATAGGAGAATATGTTAATCTCCTTTAAGAATTTGCTTGTTATTGTAAAATTAAAATATGACTTGGTCTTATAATAAATCATTACTTTTTGTATAAAATTTTATTACATTGCACTATACTTGTAATTTATAATATCATGTCATGTTACTAACAACTATATCAGGTGGTCATGGCGGGGGGTAAAGAAGGAGAATCGTTGAAGAAAACAAAGGGGAACGGGAAAGCTCAAATGGTGATCGACGACGATGACGAAGAAGTGGAGGAACGGAGGCACATGATTTGGGTGCCACTCAGGAGCCCGCCTTCACCTAACCACAAAATCATACACATCAGCATTCAGAGTTGCCGGTATTAGACCCTACTATGCTCTGGTACGTACGTACATTTAATGAATTGGACTTATATTCTTATTTTCAAAAAATTAACCTATTTATTACTTCTAACAAGTTCTATATTACTTTTTGTTGATGATCATCTAACATTGTTGTTTCTCATTTAATATAGGTTTGATGATAACAAGGTGAGGCGTGTGGTCTCCGGTACACTAACTGGATACTATCGAGACCCTTGGAGGAATTATGGAGAGGTTGATGAAGGAACGAAACAACACTGGTGGAATTTGTTCAGCGTATGCTATTTATAACTTAGTTAATACATGTTTTATTAAGTGTATTGATGGAGTTGAGTTTATAACTTTTAAAGTTTATCATTCGCAGAAACAATTTACATGGGTACCTCAATTGAACGAGCATGTGAAGCAAACTTTTGAAAGGAAGTTTGCAACTCGCCTACGTGACATGTTCTACACAGTCACACACAAGATGAATGGCGCCAAGCCAGACTTGCTCAATGAGGAAGTCCACAAGAAGATGATGGATACTGTTTCCACAGATCTGACGTATAAGAAGCGGTCGGCCCAAAATAGGAAGAACAGAAGGGGCGGTTCCCTGGAAAATGTGGTTGGACCAACCCACTATCAGGGTTCTATGTCAGCTATACAACATGCAAAAAGGATGGTAAGTTTGTTTAATAGGCAAGTAAAATAGAAGGCATTTGTGTATTACTATGTAATGGTGGTGTGACATTTATAACGATGATTTTCTGCATGTATAATCAAAGGCGGCAAAGAATCAAGGCCAGTTACCAACAGCTCCTGAGCTTTTTCTGAAGACACACTTCAAGGATGTGCCTGGGAAAGGCACAGTGCCAGCCAACACCAAAGCAAAGCAAATTGCGGTAACAACTTCAATATAACTTAGAATCTAAACTTATTTGATTGATTTCATGAAAATGGGGCAAAGTAGAAGTCATTTAGGCCATATTTGGATGAATTTGGATGAAAATGGTTCTTAAAACTTAGGTAATTGGTCATTTTTTGTGATTTCAAGCCCTATACACCTAAAACTACCTATTATTGACATGTTATGAGAAAGAAAGAGTTCATTTGGTAAGAAATGAAGAAAATGGGCAAAGTAGAAGTCAATTAGGCCTTACTTGGTTCTATTTTGTTGAAATGCTTCCTTAAACTTAGTAAGTTGCTCCTTTTCACATGTATATCTTGTAAGAGGCCTACCAGAAGAAGGTTGAAGAAGAAAGCACTCAAAGGATTCGAAAGAGTCCGAATGAGTTGTATCGGGAGACTGTGCGTGGTCGCAACAAGAAGGGTCGTTTGAAGGGACTTGGCCAAAGTGCAGAGCTGTACTATGGCAACCAGATGGGTCGAGTTTCCAAGTCTTCAAAGCTGTACACGCCTTCCGTTGTTTCTCAGATGCAGGATCAGATGGAGCATTTGGTGTAGGCTCTTCGCAGTGAAATCTGGAGTGAATTGGAAGTCGAGATAGAAACCCGATTTCAAGCCGAAATCCCCAGCGACACATGTTCCACCATTCAACCTCAGAGTCGAGACCCCAGGGACGACCCGAGTAGTGGCGGAGCAGGGCAGGGTACCCCGGCTATAGCTTAGCTTTTGTTTATGTAGTATGTACATGTACTTAATTTGGATTATGTTTTATACCTGCATACAATCTATATATATATATATATATATATATATATATATATATATATATATATATATATATATATATATATATATATATATATATATATATATATATATATATATATATATATATATATATATATATAACACCCCGACCTCTAATTCAATTATTAAGATAATCTTAGCAGCGGAATTAACCTAACACGGTTGGGACGTCACTGCCGTAAATCCCTCACGAGATTTACAAGGCAACAAACATACTTAATTAACAAACTTGATTTATAAAACATAGTAATCTATTTATAACAAACATTATTCTTAATTTTTATAATAGAAAATCCTATCTTATCTCAAACTTTACTAAGTAGCTTAGTCTTACTATTCAAATTAAACAAATTAAAACTATAACTACTATTAAGTGATAACTGAAAGTAAAATCCTCGCTACTACTCGTCTCCATCATCCCCAGCAGTACCTAAAACATAAAAACATAAAAACGGGTGAGCCGAAGACTCAGTAACGAACTACTCTAGTAGTGTAACATCATTTCAATTCATTTTAGTTAACAAAACAGGGAGAATAGAGTATCTTAAAACATTTAATAAAATTCATATAATGATATATATAATGTTCATATTAACATGCTAGTCGCTGGCAAGTATGACATGGCGGAACGTCTTCCGCGATGGGCCGGTGCCATAACATAGAGCAGATGCTCGACATAGTTGGGCTAATGCCCCATGGGTACATGCATGACCGAAAAGTAACCTGTAAACATATACTGCCAGACGGACTAGGTTTTTCACTGTTACTTATCATGTTGTGTAACTTTTACATAAGTCATTCATAGATTCATGACATACTTTCGTAAGATCCAAAGATCAATAAAACAACGTTTATCAATAAAAATCATTCATATAAATCATTAGACTGGAGTACATTAATAAACACAATCATCATCCCGCAAGTCAATAAATCCAGAGATATAAACAACTTTCAAAAATGACATCATGCTTTTATAAACACATTTTTTGAAGGGAATTGCGGGTACTAGCAATAGCCGTTACCTCGATTTACAGTCTGATAACCTTCCTGTTAGCCTTTATTCTATCGTTCTCACTGAGCTCCGAGGTCCGATTCTTCTTGAAAATATAAATTATTTCATTAGTAGGGAAAATTATTAAAATTATAAACTCTTTAATTAATTTAGTATGAAAACAATATTAAACTCATCTTTAGAAATAAATGTTACGTAACTTTTTGAGAACTTTTTGATAAAAGTAGTTGTATCATAATTCCTTCAAAAAGCTAGTAAACAAGTATATTTAATTAAATCAAATCCTTTTACAAAACATAAATCATAAAGTGTCCCTTACTTTGGGTGTATATATAAACAAGTTTAAGAGCTTGATTTCATAAGACCAATCTTTAACTTGGCAAGAACATAGCACGCATCACCCAAAATGAAATAAATGGATGGGTGGTTTTGGGCAGTACAGGGGAGGCAGCGCACACGGGGGGCGGCGACGGTTGACCGATGATGATAGAGGTCAGGCGGTAGTAGGAGAAGAGGGGTGACAGTAATTGCGGTATTTCTTTAACGGTTGGAAAGTAGTATGTTTGTTGCTAAGACTTGCAAGAGAAGGAGGAAGAAAATAGGATTAACTATGTCACTTGATAACTATAATTTGATTCTTATAGGAATTGGATGAAACAAATTTGGCCTTATCCCAAGTCATTTCTTAACCGTGAAGGTGGTAATTGAAGAGGTAGAATTTGTCTTCTTATTGCATTAAGAAAAGGATGATAAGATCAAATTGCTATTATGATAATTATGGGTTTATGAGCAATCATTTGCATAAAGAAGCAAAATTAGACTTTGTACCATCTATTTCTTAACCGTGAAGGTGGTAATTGAAGAGGTGGAATTTGTCTTCTTGTTCCCTTTTATACCTACACCTTGAGGAAGTAGGATAAACTCAAGCTAAGTTGGCAAAGTCTAATCAATTATCCTTGATTGGTTTAGCAAGACATTAAGCAACAAGTATTAGGAGATGTAAAATAATTTTGATCTTCATAACTTAATCGTGAAGGAAATTAATATTGAAGAGGTGGGTTTTGTCCTTTTGTATGAATAAGGGCATTTTGGTCATTTTATTCTCTCGGGCAAAAATACTGATTTTGATATAAATTTGTAAACATACGGAACATAAAAATATTACTTAAGCTGAAATACATTTTAAAATAAAATTTAAGACTAAAACATTTGTTCTGGTTAAAATAGAGACAAAATCTTAATTAAGCTAATAAAATAAATATTAGAGTATGATAAATAGGGTTTTAAAATCTCGGGTATTACAATATATATATATATCATTAATTTAATTTTATCAGGTGAAATTCCAAAAATCGATTAATTTGTTAAATTAGCAGGTGAAATTCCGACGGAATTTCTGATGGTATTATCCGCTGGAAGCAGGTTTGTTGCGACGGAAAAATAATCCGTCGAAATATGGCGACGGATTTGCAGATGGACAATTCCGTTGGAAATCATATATTTTCCAAGGGTAAATAAATCCGTCGGAACTTTGCGACGAAAAAATGCATCGTAAGATTCCGACGGAAGTTTAATCCCTCGAAAAATACAGACCTTACGAGGGAATATTTCCGTCGAAAACGTATTTGATTAAGAAAGATTATTCCGTCGGAAGAGGTATATACCAACGGAATTAATTTCGTCGGAATATTGCGACGAATTCTCAATTTAAATCAATCCATGTGCCGACTGATCTAATTCCGACGGAAAATCCCTCGAAAAAAGTAGAATTTCCTACAAAATTTTTCGCGACAAACCATTCCGAAGAAATTCCGTCGGAAATCATCTTTCCGACGGAATTTTAAATGATTCCGACGGATTTTATCCGTCGAAAAACGGCTGTTTTCTAGTAGTGACGACCCCTCCCACGACCTTTACCGCCTCCCTTGCCTGGTCCTCCTCGACCCTGGCCACGCCCCCCACCTCTGCCGGCGGTTTGACCACCGGGCCGCTGTTGATGCGGTTATGAAGCAGGTGGCGCTGGAGTCGAATTTGTAGCAGAGGTCGGTGTTAAGCTTTGCGCTACAAAGGAAGCAGATTGACTGCCTTGGTCGTTTGACCGACATGTTTCTTCAAGTAAAAGCCGAGAACGTGCTATCTCGGATGAGGGAAGTGGTTCTGTTTGTTGTATAATAGTAGCAACTGTGTCGTAGTCCGTATTGATAAGGCCGGAGACAAGTCGGATTACGAGTTTTTGTTCTGTGACAGGTTGATCGACGGCGGCAAGTTGGTCCTTTAAACTCTTTAATTGTCGGCAATAAGTACTAATATTAGAAAAATTGGACAAGTGAAGGGAATTAAACTGGTTCTCAAGATACACGGCCCTCGTGTTCTTGTTGTCTTGAAATAAATCCTTCAATTTGTTCCAAAATTGTTGTGCCGAGTCACCTTTGCAAAGGACAGATTGAAGAAGGTCCAAGGTAATTGTGCCGTATATCCATTGCTTGACAATAGAGTCTAGGCGACGCCAAAGAGAGTCGGAGACATCGGAACGTCGCGGCACGGTAGAGTCGATGTGGTCAAGAACATTAAAAGCGTGGCAATGAACTTCAAATAATTCCACCCAATTAGAATATTGAACTTTTTCCCGATCAAGAATCAAGGGAATAACGTTCTTGATGTTGTTGACGGAAAGAGCTGGATGGTACTCTGTCGATGGTGGAGGAGGCGGTGGTGGAGGTGTTTGATGTTCACTGTCTTTGGTCATGGCGCAAAGATGAGACTATGTTGTACTTGCTATATAAAAGGCAAATTAAAGTGACAACTTGTGTCTTTAATGCAGAGAAGGAAAACGGGAATCAATTAAATCTTGAAAAACGTTAATTTAATAATGGAATAGCAAGAAAACAGATAAAAATTGCGGAAGCTAGATAGAAAAACCTAGAGCTGTGATACCATGTTACATTTCGGGAAAACTCCTCAATCTGGAGTGTGAACCATTAATTAATATATATATATATATATAGTTTTACAAGACTAGTCCTAATCATGTTAGAAAACCTAGTACGATAAGGATACAAGATATATACAAATATTATCCTAATCGGCGACAAATATAATCATGACTATAATATCTATCATATTTGTCAAATATGGTACTATTGACCAGCTATATATACATTTAGGCATACAGGGTGTATATTATACAGTAGAAATTACAGAGTTAATAAAACGATCATCTAATTAAATAAGGCATAAGATTATTAAACAAAGGTGATATTTTTTTCTTGTTTTGGGGGGATGCATGTTAATTGTCAATTTGTCATGTGGGTAGAGCAGAGTATGTCACTGAATATCATGTTCTTAGTTTCTTACACATTTATAGAATAAGCACTGATTCCTCCCCTTATCACATGAAAATAGTATAGTAAGATATAAAAATTACACAAGAAATTAAAAATCATATGTAATTTTAGGTACTATACACCAACATCAATCTCCCCCACATGAACTATCTACAATACAATACACCCAAAATTTTTTATGAACTCTATGATATTCCTCTAACTTTAGCTTATAATAATTATAATGAGAGCGAGGGATAATTCAGTTGGTTAAAGCTTTGTTTTCGAGATCGATTCTCATCACCCGTCTTTGTAGCTCTATAATAATAATAATTTACTGTGACGTGTCAACTTTTCTTTCGTTTAATTTGCCTAACCAGTCAGAACACCCACCCTTTTTCCTCCATCTCTTCATTCACCTTTACTATTATTATCACATCCTTAAACAATCCATGCATCACATGCTTCTTGTTACCTTTAAATGTCACTCCAAATTTATACTACTACTATTAAATATCTATTCATCTTCGAACATAAAATTGTTGTAATACTTCTTATATCATTAATCTTATATTAGACATCGTAATTAAAGTTGAGATTAATATTGGAAGATCAATGGGATCATCAGAAAAGGAAGCCTCATCACCATTTCCAGGGTTCAAAAAATATGATCCTAAGGAGGAGTACGAGCCAATTAGAAGGGCATTGAGTAGGTTACAACGGCGAGCGCCTCGGCCTCTTCAGCTTAAACCTTCTGTATCATTCAAGTCCGAAGGTACTCCAAAATTATTGTTTGGATCATCATCGTTGTCGTTGTCGTCGTCATCAGCTGTTGGTACAACATCTTCTTTGAGTTCATATTATCAGAATAAGGATCCTATCCCTCTTCTTTCTCCCCTTGTTTCTCCTTCTTTTGCTGAAAAATCTCGTTGATTTGGAAGCATTGTTGTAACCTTATTTCATGTTTGCTAATTTGATTGTAATTATCAATATTATGAACAATTTTGTTATCTTAATAAATTAGTATATCATCATGATCATTTTTTGCATATCTTTAATTAAATTATCCTTGTTTTTGAGCTTCTTAAGTTGGTGATTTTGTTAATTTTTTTAAGTAATTAAACTTCTTTTAATAGAACATTACATGAAATCTTGAATTTTGTGGCCGAATTGAAGTTGATTTTTTGTATATGTAATTAACCATAAAATTATCAATGTTTTACTATTACATACATGATGTATGCTAATTAAATTTGTCCTGGTTTCAAAAAAAAAAAAAATAAATAAATAAATAAATTTGTCCAATTCAATAATTTCTTGTGTTGACTTTCAACGGTCCAAGTTTTGGTATTACTATTGAGAAGAGAGATTAGACGACAGCACATCGTTGATTAATTAGATTATGGTGTTAAATATGATTTAATACTCCCTCCATTTTAGAATGATGTTTCTGTTTACGTAAATCGATGCAAGTATCCATCTTTGACCGTAAATATCTTTAATCTCACTCTAGCAAAAATTATAAAAGTTAGATATTACTCCGTAATAATGTACTCACGAAGACAAATCAAACTAGATCTCTTATTTTTTAAAAGTCAAAGATTTCAAACAGAAATATCATTGTGGAATAGAGGGAATATAAACAATGCATATAGTACTTCTCAATTATGTTTATCGCCTACCAAATGATTTATGTATTATTATTGTTATTATTGTATAACGTATATTCTTTGATTGAGGTTAAACTATATGAGGAATTACTTGATCATAAACTACTATTATATGATTTATTCTCGCTATGTTTTTGAATTAATGAAATTTTTATTTTGTTTTCTTCATCATTGAAATATACTACATCCATGTGAGTATTATCATCTTATAAAATTTGACATTGTTATTGAATTGATTTCAAATTAACCATTGTCTTCAAAAGTATTAGCAAAAAAAAATTAAAATTAATGTTTTCATAATTAATTGTAATAATTTGGGGCATCACTCTAGCCAACAAGTGAACAAGGAAGAAGAAGTAATGAGGAATTGTGGACAATTAAAAAATAACTAGATTAGTGTCCATATGATGTACGGTAGTATTAATCTTTTTTTCCATAATTAATTTGTGATATAATATAAAAATGAGGCAACTCATGTGAAATAATGCAAAAATTATTAAAACTACAACTAAGAAAAAAAATAATTAAATAATCCGTATTATTTTTGATTAGTTGTATTGAAAATATTTAAAAATAGTGTACATTATATTAAATTAATGATGCATGTTATTACCAATAAAACTATACAGTGTAGATGTTATATGGTTTTTTTTAATGGAAATTAGTTAAAAAAAAAAATACTATACAATGTACTTCCAAAAAATAATTTAAGTAGAATAATTTTTCCAAAAAAAAAAAAAAAAACCTTAAACCTGTTGACGGGAATTTTGTTAATATTAGCTTGACATATGTCCAAAAAGATCGATGTAAGCATGACCTGTTTTAGTAATAGTTAATAGATTTTTTTAAGGAATTTTTTTTTATAAGTTAGAAAAATTATTGCAGAAATATTTAACAGAAAAATAACTCAATTATTAGTATTTCATAAGATTTCAAATCAACACCATAAAACCCCACAATTGAACAACTATATAATGGTAATTTAATGTTAATATTGTAATTTTGGCTTCGTTATTTTATACTCTCCACCATATTTCGAACTTCTAAATTATAGCTTATTCTTTCTTGATTAAAAGGTCACAAAGTCTTGTGTAACTATTTTAAGTAAATATAACATGAAATAAAAAGGAATACAATTATTATAAAGATACTATTTAAGATTACGAATAATATATTATTATAGTTGTATTATACAAATATTCCATAAATAAAAGATTTTTGCTAGAAAGGGGGGGGGGTTTTAGAGGGAATTATTTTAATTGTATTATACAAATATTCCAAAAGTAAAAGATTTTTGCTAAAAAGGGAGGAAGGTTTTGGAAGGGAAAAACAGCACCAGAAAGTGACACGTGTCATTCATGGTGTCTGTTTTAGTATTATGTTATTGATGAGCGTATTGGGTTTAACAAATCAAAGAATATTAATTGGGCTTTAAATATTTGGGCTCAATCACACGGAGCCACTAAAACTATTGAAGCCCAGTTTGGGTTCTAACGGTTATTATATCTAGGGCTGAGCAAAACTATCCGAAATCATGAAATCCCGATCCATAACCGATTTGAAATTTAGGGTACCTAATCTAATAACATTAACGGTTTGGGCACCCGATCCAATAATTTGTTATCGGATATGATTATTGGGTATTGTTTTAAAATTAACGCTTACCCGATCCGATCCGATAACTAATTTTTCTTTTTTTTTCCTACTTAAATCTATTTATCCAAAATCTAAACTCTTACTTTACTTCATAATCACTTTATTATATGAATGATTAATAATATAATTAATAATTTTGTCAATATCATGTGGTATTGTTGTTAATTAGTGTTGAAAGATATCATAATAACTACATTATTAAGTTTAATTATTATTATTGGAAATCATATCGGGTACCCGATAACCGATCCGAAAATTCGGGTACCCGAAGTCCGGATACCCAAACTTATCGGTTCGATTTATGGATATCATTTTTAGTGATATTGATTATCAGGTATCCGAACCGTTAGTGTTGACAGTTCGGGTACTCGCCTCATGCTCACCCCTAATTATTTCAGTCTGCAAATCAACTTCCGGAGACTAAACCACTATCAAATTTGCATAATTCACTACCTTTTTTTTTTGTAAATTCAAAGAATGATTTGGATGAATAAGCAATTTTTAGAAATGACTTGTCGCTTCAAAGAAGATTGAAGAATAGAAGTGTGAATTGTTCAAGAGTTACAAATTAGAGATAACAAATTGTATAATGTTAATAATGTTTTACCAAAATTTGTATACAAAAGCTAGTTTGTGTTAAAATTGTGTGTGATAGAATATAAAACATATTCCTGGCCTTCAATCATCAGCTTAAGTTTTTTGTTGAGTTGGTCCTTTAATATGGTATCAAAGTTGTTGACTCTCTTGGTATTTTGATGATTGACAAACAAACAAACTTTGACTAATGGAGTTTGATAGTCTTTGGTAGAACGAAAAGATTCAGGCATTAACGACTAATAGTTCCGGAGTAAGAGTAACTGAATTGGAAGCTTCGATATTCGTATGCAAGCTTTCAAGAAGAAGAAGAGCAAATTCCACTCCATAGAATTCTCTGTAAGCATTATAGTTTTTATGTGCAGAGAGGAACTCAGTAAGGAATTAAATGTTTTAACGTAAAATATAAAATCAGTTTTACTCCTTAATTAAAGAATTAAATAAAATCAGTTTTTAAATAGATATATTTTCTGTAAATAAATAAAAGATAAATAATTGTTTAA